GACCCGCGCGGGGAGCGGCCTCCGAGGCCCACGGCTGCCCTCTGTGGCCGGGAAGTGCCTCCCGGGCACATCACCCTGCACTTGCCACTCTTCTCCCACAGCGGGACCCGCGGCCCGACCCGGGATTTCGGGCCGAACCGGTATGCTGGTTCCTTTGTGGGAACAGTTGGCCTCACAGCTCCTGGGGAAAGCGGGCCCTGTCCCAGCATCAGGTGGCGGAGCTGCGGAGTGTGCCTGCGCTGGTTGATGGTTTTTAAGTGTTGCAGAGAGGAACGTCAGTAAACATGAACAGTTCTTATTCTGGTCACTGTGCGGCCATGCCTCTTACTTGTCCTGAATATTTAAAGATGAGTCCAAATGACATAGAAAAGGCACGCGAAAGGACAGGCGCCTTTTCCTAATGGTGCGGTGGAGTCAGGGCACGGGGTTCCGGCCCAGCGGGCACTTTCCGTGGGACCCTCGGTCAGTTCCCGAACCCCGCTAAGCCTCAGTTTTCCTCCTCCGTGGAATGGCCACAAGCTCCTGCCTGTCTCCGAGGGCGGAGACTGCAATAGGCTTGCAGAGCACACACCAGGCTCCTGGCACCATCAGCCCAGGCTCTGGTAACGGTCCGCACCCCCAGATGTGTAAGCCGGGCGAACACGCACCTGGAAGACTTGGCTGCACCGAAACACGCATTTCAGGTTTTCTTTAATGGCCCACCCTGTATTTGAAATATGGTTTGATAGAACAAAATTGATGACACTCCACTTTCAGGAATATGTTTATTGTGTTTGGCAAGGGGCAGGATAGACTGAGGTGCACCCTTTGTTTAGCTGCTGTGGCCACTTTTCCCCCCAAGGGCTTTCAGTGTTTGTGACTTGCTCAAGCTTTGCTGACGTGTGGCAACTAAGCACCTTGAGAAGGTCTTAGCCCCTTTTGTAGCTGTCCACATACAATCGGGTTTAAAAAAAGACAAGACCAGTGAGTTAAATGTAAGCCATGATCCAAATATAGATTATAGCTAGGAGCAGGAGTCACTCAATTTATTTGTTTGCTTTTGAAGTAATTTATGTGACTGGTAGGCACACTCTAAGCCTAAATCAAAGATATGGCTTTATTTATTTTTTTCAATTCTAATAATTTAAATCTGCAATTCTAATAAATAGCAACAAAACGGTTTGATTAGCTGGAACTAAGTAGATATAATTTATTTATAAGATGTAATTTGTGTAGCAAGAATTCCTTGAAGGTTTGAAATTGTAAATTAATTTTTTTGTTTTTGCTCTTTGCATTTCATTATTTTGTTGGGGAATAAAAAAGGGATAAGGAGCCCGGGCTGATGTGGCTCAGTGGTTGAGCATTAATCTATGAACCAGAAGGTCACGGTTCGATTCCTGGTCAGAGCACATGCGCAGGTTGCGGGCTCCGTGTAGCAAGAATTCCTTGAAGGTTTGAAATTGTAAATTAATTTTTTTGTTTTTGCTCTTTGCATTTCATTATTTTGTTGGGGAATAAAAAAGGGATAAGGAGCCCGGGCTGATGTGGCTCAGTGGTTGAGCATTAATCTATGAACCAGAAGGTCACGGTTCGATTCCTGGTCAGAGCACATGCCCAGGTTGCGGGCTCCATGCCTGGTATGGGGTGTGTAGGAGGCAGCTGATCAATGAGTCTCTCTCATCATTGATGTTTCTTCTCTCCCTCTTCCTTCCTCTCTGAAATTAATAATATATATATTATTAATTTATATATTTTAAAAAGGGATAAGGAGATGCAGATTTTTTCCTTTTACCAAATATTACATTGACTATTTACTCTGGTTTTTAAAAAAATGTATATCCAGTATTGTATGTTATTATAGCAATTCTGATTGCCTTTCTAATTTTCAAGATTTTATTATTAGTTGGAGATAGTGCTGACGTATAGGCAAGTGGCCAAGTGGTCAGATATCATGAATCTGACAAGGATTTCAGAATTTTAATCTGAGCTTTGGGCTAATTTCATGGCTTTAAGTGAGTCTTTTAACTTTGAATTTAAGTTTCCTCTAATGTTAAACACTACCATCTTTTGCCTGTGTGAAAGGACTTACTGAGTGAATCTTATTACAAATCTTTTGGCTTTCGCCCTGACTATGGGTACTCTCAGGCAAATGTTTGAGTGCAAAGGTAGGATGGTTAAGCCTGGGAGTACACTTCTAGGCCAGAGCTGTGCTTAAAATTCTGGGTTTATGAGTTTCCATTTGTTTGTTCATCCATTTGAAAAGTTAGTTTTCAGCTTTATGATTTAACATCCAGCCGTGGTATCATAGCCTTCTGTTATCAAGTACATAACTGAAGTAGTTATGGAGGAATGCAGTTAGGAATATTATAGGAATTCGAAACAAAGCAAACAACCCCAAGCCAACTAACCCATCAAAATAGTATTGTCTTAACCAAGTCTTGAATGTGAAAATGTGTTTCTTCTATAATGCAGAGTGTAGGGTGGCCAGTTTTGGTAACTAGAATTAAGGACACATAATATTTCTATTCTAGAAGACCTATTTGGTATTCAGAATGGGATCTTTTTAAAAATATATATATTTTTATTGATTTTAGAGAGGAAGGAAGAGGGAGAGAGAGTTAGAAACATCAATGATGAGAGAGAATCACTGATCGGCTGCCTCCTGCCCGCCCCACACGGGGGATCAAGCCCACAACTGGGGCATGTGCCCTTGACCGGAATCAAACCTGGGACCCTTCAGTCTGCAGGCCAATGCTCTATCCGTCGAGCCAAACCGGCTAGGGCCAGAATGGGATCTTAAAAAACAAACACCCTAGTCATGTAAAAGTGGGACATTAATCCCTTACATTAACATTTATTTACCAATCAACTCTTCTTCCATTTCTAATACACAGCATGCAATGTGCTAGGTATCTACTGAGACATATAAGTCGTGGTCCCTGCCTTCCAGGAGCATATCGGATGTGGAATACATGCAAGTAATACACAGATGTGTTAAAAAAAAACAACTAGCTTGATAAATACTGCTGCACAGATGTGAGCAGTGCACACTGAGAATGGAGTAACAGTGAGTCTACGATAAGTGGGACAAGCTTTACTCAGAAGGGACACTTGCGCTGCATGTATCAGATTCCAGACGCAGGGAACAGCCAGTGCAAAGGATGTGAACACATATAAGGACTTGAAGTGTTTGAAGAATGGCGAGCCACAGAGTGTGGTATGTGTGTGTGTGTGTGTGTGTGTAGATGTGGAGGGAAGGGTCAGAGATGGGCTCAGGATGTAAAGGTACTTGTAGACCTAACTTTGAAGTTAAAAAGCATCCTGTTGTTACAAGAAGCCAAAAGAAGTTTTTATGTGGGGAGTGATAAGGTTAGTTTTATACTTAGGAGCTGTGGTCTAGTACCAGTGAGGACTAAAGTAGGAGAAAATGCAGTTGGCTGTAGGTAAGTGATCAGAAGGGCTTTCTCGGAGACGGTGGCAGCTAGAATAGAGATACGGGCAGGGTTGGAGGTATTTCTGAGTATTTGTGGATGTATTAGTTTATGGGGGTTTAAGAAATGGGAACAGACAGTGGGGCTGGAAAGTTTGGCACAGTGAGGAGGCTGTTGATAGGTGTTTTTAGGATTAGAGAGACAAGTTCATGCTTCTGTTCTCTAAGAAGGAAGTTGAGAGGTGGAGGGAATAGCATTTTGTGGTGTAACCATTCAGCAGTTACTTTTTCCATGAAGCAGGAGGTTAGATTTTTGAAATTGAGAGTGAGTGCTTTATTTAAGGGACTTTAAGATGTCTGGTAAAAGCTGCTTTGTGGAGTAGGAGACAGTAAAAGACTCCTGTGGATTGAGGTAAGATTGGAAGCCATCTAACTACAAGGCAGTGCTGTCTTTCTCCCACAAGCCCTCAGTTAGGGAACTAAAGAGGGTGTCAAGGGATCAAAGTCTTGCTGAGTTTAGTAAAGAGAAGGTCGAGTGGAGTAAGGAGACAGTATAAGAGAATTAGGGGCTGTGATGAGACAGAACCTGGCTGGAGATCCTGGCTAGAGAACCTGGCTATGATGATTGACTGAACGCTGCCTCTGTCCATACCTTTGGGAACCTGTGGTCCTGCTGGGGTTCGATCCCAACAGATGGTGCCCGAACAGGGACCCCTAGCCGTTCAATGCGCTGACGCTTCGGGAAGCCCGTTGCCAGTGACGCCGCCCGCTAGTCAGATCAACAAGGACAACCAAACCACTGACTTGAGGACAGCTGAAATCCCTGACTGAAAGAGGCCAGCAACCTTCTACAGGAACAAGGCTCCTTGTGCACTCCATCCACTATGTTTATAGCTATGCTCGCTATCATTGTTTGTCAGTCTTCTTCTGAGTCTTAAACAACCCAATCTGAGAGATGGCCGCTGATTTACATGCGTTATCATTTAAAAAATAAAAAAGGGAGAATTTGCCGGAAGCCAGTCCATCCTTGACACAGTCGCTGCAGGAAAGAAACAACAATCACGCTTAAGCTACATAATCTTTACTCCCTGGAATGGAGATAAGAAACGCCCTAACCTTTGGAATAGAAATTGATAGGATTAAAGTCAACTGGTATAAATACAGATTTAACAAGACAGTAAAACACAGAACCTGGCTTGGAAAAAAAAAAAAAGAGGTTGTGATGAGATAGAAGGGTCAGGGAGGTGACGATGATGAGAATGGAAAGAAGGTGTAGTCAGATAGTGGGAACCTCCTAAGAGGCGACTTTCGGGTTGTGGCTGAAGAGCAGTATGCATCTCAGAAACTGTTTTCCTTCCTGGGCAAGGTTGCGGGAGAGAGTTTAAGACTCCAGGGAGCACATGCATGTACTTGGCAGAAGACTGAAAACCATGGTTCATGTCTAGATGGAGGGAAGCCAGGCCAGCTAGCAAAAGCTTCCTTACAGAGACAGGGTAGTGAGAACTTTCTATGAAGAGGCTGTTGATAAGAAGATGAAGATACCATGGTCAATATCAGAAGCTGCTTTAGCAGTGGGAGGGCCGTCTGTGGAGTAAGAATGCCTGAGGCAGAACAGAGCTTTATTCTAAATGTGTGATTTGTAAATTGAATCAATGACACTTGGAGACCTTACATAATGTAGGGGTAGTCCACCTCCCTACCAAGACAGTTCATTACATAGAGGAACATGTTGAGTGTGGATATATTTTTAACTTAAGTAACTTTGTCAAAATCTACATTTCTGATTTTTTTGGGGATTCACCCCTTTATCATCAATGTTTTCTTGCTAATTAGGAAGAAATACAAGGACCAATATTTTAAGTTTTTTGAGGAGAATTATAAAATTTAAATGTCCATAGTTAAAATCACTTTTTGGGGGGATACAGTTCTATGAGTTCTTATACATGCATAAAGTAGGGTCTTGCAGCCTCCTCCACAGGCAGTATGCTGACCAATTCCAACACCTACATGCTTGCCCTGTGCCGCCTCTTTGTGTCCAGGTCTCCCCCAATGCTAAGCCCTGTGGACCACTGATCTGTTTTCCATGCTCAAAATGTTGTCTTTTCTAGACTGTCATGCAAATGTGTTAATATAGTAGGTAGCCTTTCAGGAATGGCTTCTTTCACTCAGCATAATATGTTCGAAGTTTTTTTTAATGTTGTCACGTGGATCAGTAGCTCATTCTTTTCTGTTGCTGAGTAGTTTCATGTTGTGTTTTTATCATAATTTGTTTATCCATTCCCCAGGTGAGGGACCTTTGGGTTATTCCTAGTGTTTGCTGATTACAGAAGGAAAAAGCTGCTATAAACATTACATTCAGGTTTCTGTATAAATATAGATTTTGTTTCACTTGGGTAAATACCAAAGAGTGGGATTTCTGAGACGTGGTAAATGTATGTTTAACTGTGTAAGCAGCTCCTAACCTGTTTTCCAGCGTGCTTGCACCATTTTGCATTCCTACCAGCAGTGCATGAGGGTTCCTGTTCATTGTTCTTACCAGCACGTGCTATTGTTTGCATTTGTTATTTTAGCTGTCCTACTAGGCATGTAGTGATATCTCATTACGGTCTTAATTTGCATTTCCCTAGTAACTAAAAATGTTGAGCATCTTTTCGTGTGCTTACTTGTCATCTGTATATCTTCTTTGGTAAAGAGACTAGCTTTTTGCTGATTATTTTTATTGGGTTGTTTGTTTTATGGTTTTGAGAGTTCTTTATACTAGTAAGACCTTTGTGAGAAAATGTAATTCACAAATCTTTGAGTCTGTGGCTTTTCATTTCAGTACTTTAACAGAGCCCTTTGCAGAGCAAAAGTCTTTTGTTTTGCTGAAGTCCAATCTGTCCATTTTTTCTTATATGGGTATTGCTTTTTATGTTGTATCTAAAAAATCTTTGCTTTTTTCAGGGTCATGAAAATTGTTTCCTATATTTTCTTCTAAGAGTTTTGTAATTTGACATTTTACACTTAGGTCTGTGATTTATTTTGAGTTAATTTTTTTTAATATACTATGAGATATAGATTGAGGTTTGTATAATTTTTTTTTTTTGCAGATGGATGTCCAGTTGTTATAGCATACTTTATTATAAAAACTATAATTTCTTCATGAATTTTATTTTTGTTGAAAGTCAGTTGTCCATATTTTTACTGGTCAATTTCTGGACTCTAGTCTGTTCTATGGGTCCATGTGTCTATCCTTTCACCAATACTACGTTGTCTTGACTACTGTACCTCTTAAAATTGGGTAACGTGAATCCTCCAACTTTGTTTTTCTTTTTCAGAATTCTAGGTTTTTTTTTACTTTCTAAAATTAAATTTTAGAGTCAGCTTGTTATATATACAAAGAATACTGTTGGGCTTTTGTTTGGAATTGCATGAAATCTATAGATCAATTTGGGGAGAATTGGTATTTATAATGCTAATGAGTTTTCTTTGATCTCTTTAATCAGTTTTGCAGTTTTCAGCATACAGACCCTCAATATTTTCATTTTAAATCTTTTACAGACTGAATTATGGAAATGGAAAGTGAAGAAGAACAATGGGAGAAGCTGGATGCGGAATTTGATCACTTTGTGGTAGATATGAAGCCTTTTGTTTTAAAATTACCCCATAGGCCAGGTAAGATTATGTTTAAAAATTAGATTCTTAAGGTTAATTGTTTCTTATATTATTTCATGAAACCAATGATGCATCAAAATGGAAATAAAACTGAATTCTTTTAATAGCAATTTTTATCTTAAGCTGAAGTGGGATTGTTTACTTTGAGCTGTTCAAGGGTAAATAGAAATTTAGTGATAATGTCCTACTAAACTATGGAAAGGTTGTGATACCCCTTCTTACATGCCATGAGCTTAAAGCCCAGGGATCTCTAAAGTTTGCTAAAACTATTTCTTCCTGCATCTTTTTTTCCCCCACAATGGGAATGCTTCCTCTTTCAGGAGCCTACAATCCACCTGCTCTTTGACCCTTTTGTTTCTAACAGTGGAAAAGAATTTATTGGTCTTGTATGCTTTGGGTTGACGGAATTAAATGAAGTGTGAATGAGTTTTTGTTGTTATCTTGTCTCCAGTTTATGGCTTCTTATCTTTAATTATAGAATGAGAGTCTTTGTTTCAAGTCAAAGAATTTTCAAGTAACATAAGGTATGCAGAGCAATTGGAAAGAGTTTGGGGGGCCAGGAAGATGCTCTGAGTTATACTGGGCATAAGATTGGCTGTAAAGGTAAATCTGATTGGCAGCTTTTGAGTGGATCATTTGGAATGGGGCCAAGAAACTGGTTTTTACTCTGTCCAAATTTCCTAGTTCCCTAAGGTGTCTGAGGGAACTCTATATTCAAAAATGAGGAACCAAGTCAGTATTAGATATTTATTGCAAGGAGCTGCACTGGGAGAAGGGAGGGTAGTGGGTGAGTAATGCATTTTGTGGTCATCCATTGTTCTAGGCCCTGCCACTTTTTTTTTTAAATCCTCACCTGAGGATATGTTTTTTATTGATTTATTTTTAGGGAGAGAGGAAGGGAGATGGAGATGGAGGTGGAGAGAGAGAGAGAGAGAGAGAGAGATTGATCACTTGCCCCCCATATGCGCCCTGACTGGGGATTGAACCCACAATCTTTTGATGCTCCAACCAACTGAGCCATGATTGGCATGGGCTTCCCTCCAAGCTTCTTCCTCTATCTGCTTGCCCTTCAGACCACAACCTCTTCTTTCTTCCTCTGCTGTTCTTCACAATGGTTATTTCATATCTCACAGCTCATTCATGATTTGTTGAGTTAGTATTTAATGATGTTTCTATACTGTTAATCATCTTTTGATATTCAGTACCTTTTCGTCTTAGATCTGCTGATTAGGAAAAATTTTTAATTAAAATCTATTATAAATGTATTTCAAATCAAACTATTGTCATATTTATCTTCTTTTAAAGATGGATTTTAGTTACAAGAATTGATTGGATTGTAATCTTTGGTTCATGACATATTGTCTATATTGGTACATCCCTTGCCTTCTCTTATTTAGTTAATTCTTAATGAACACTTGGAAATCACATACCAATCAAGAATCTAAACGACTTACATCTTCTTGTAGCTAAAATCTACTTTGGGAAATGGTTTTTCCAACATTTTAAGTAGAGGAATGAATCCTTTTGTATTAATCAAGTTGTACTGAATTCCATCCATTCCAAAATTAGATAGATTTCAGTTTGCTGCTGGGCATATAGAAAATATATAGTTTGAAAAAGTGATTACTTAAGTTTATCAGGTTCACTTTTGCATTTTTTTTGGCATAAAGTATGCCCAATATTTCATGAAGTTTGCTTTGTGATTATATAATTTCAAAGCTAAAAATACAAAAGTTTTTTAGAGGCTAGCTTTCATACCTGTAGTAATAAATCCGGTATGAGCAAAGTAGTAAATCCGGCCCCAGCAATTTTTGTAGGTAAAACAATAAATGAATATGACCTTTAGAAACTAAGAGATTAAAGCAGGCTTAGATTTGTGTTAGGTATATAATCCCCAAATTGAGTTAGACTGATAAAAGATTAGTGTCAAAGTAGTTTTCATGAGACCTAAAAGCGATTCTGTGTCATGTAAGATACGATAGTCAATAGGTCATTATATGTGGATTAAACTGTGCTATATTTTTAAGGCAGTTTCTAAAAGGATAATTATTTTACAAAATTACATGTAAATACCCTTCAATTATTTCTAGAGAGGTTAAAAGAAAGCCCTAAATAAATCAACTATAAGTCCCTGAAAATTATCAGCTCTAATAAATAAAACATTTGAGATTTAATTTTAGATTAAGTTTAAAATGCTTAAATAAATAAGGTTGCATTTTATCTCTCTTGCTTTGTATAATGAGAATTATAGAATTTTCAGAACAACTACAATTATTTTAGAGATGTTTTTGCAGCAAACTTTTTATCTCACTGCTTTATTTGACAGTAATCCAGAGATTTTATTTTTGAGAAAATATTTTTTTTGCTTATGTCTTGCCTGATTACTAATGAACTGGTAAACTCTAGACCAAGAGTTGGCAAATTGTAGCCTCTGGAGCAGATCCAGCCTGCTGCCTTTGGTAAAGTTTTATTAGAAAACAGCCATGCCCGTTTGGTTACATGTGGTGTGTGACCGATTTCATGCTCCAGTGGCAGAGGGGAGCAGCTGTGCCGGGGGTCACAGGCCTGCAGAGCCTCACTGTTTACTGCGTGTCCCTTTACAGTGAATTTGCCGACCCCTGCTCTAGGCAGGAGCAGATTTAGACAGGTCTTTCATTTAGTGTTTGTTTACTGACAAATCAAGTCTCTAATATTGCCTATGTATTTCTAGAACGGCAGAGGTGTGCACTTTGGATTAGAAAGCTGTGTGAGCCTTCAGGAACAGGTGCAGGAATAATGGGCAGGAAGAATCGTAACCTGTATGCAAAACTGTTACTGCATATGCTTAAACGAGGAGTGATTGAAGGCCCTTTTATACACCGACCTGAACCTGGGACACTAAAAACTTTACCTTCGTACATGGTAGGTGTCATTGACCAAAAGGTGAATTAGTTTAGTTTCTTAAAAATTGCCAATTTAGACCAGCCTGGGTGGCTCAGTGGTTGAACCGGGAGGTCGAGGTTCAATTTCCTGTCAGGGCACATGACTGGGTTGTGGGCTTGGTCCCCAATGTGGGATGAGTAGGAAGCAGCCGAGCAGTAATTCTCTCTCATCATTGATGTTTCTATCTTTTTCTCCCTCTCTCTTCCTCTCTGGAATCGATAAAAAAATATTTTTAAAAACCTCTGCCAATTTATCATACCATTTGGGAATGGTCATATTAGTAAGTAGCAAGCTCTAAATAATATGTTAGTTAAAATGAATGTGTTTGTTTTTTCTTTCTGATTCAAGTTTTTCTGCCTTGAATAGAAATCAGATATTGGCCTATAAGTGGCCTATACCTACTGACTTAGTCATTCCATAATATTATACAATATTTCTAAAAATTTTAAAGTGTGATTTTAAACTTGAGCCTTACTTTCCCACTGTTTATAACAATATTTTATGTATGTCAGGAAATTTTAGTTATTAAACTCTTTAATATTTAAAAATTTATGAGAGGTCAGATTGAGTGACTTCTAAAGTTCCTTTCTACTCTAATAAAATGACAACAATAAGTTGGAGTTTAGAAGTGATTTCCTGCGCTTCATTTAATTTCATTATCAGAATCAGGTTTGTGAAAAGGCAGTTACAATTATACTTGGTTGGTGAATTGTCACTGTCTTGGTTTGTATGGTGGTTGGATACTTGAGAAATCTGGCTGGAGCTCTAGGGATTGGTAGTTGCTGTTAGGATATTTTAAGATTTTTTTAAATGATATTTAAAATTTTTTAAATTTTATTTTAACAGTTAATTTACACCAAAAATTTACTCAAGAGGCATGTTGCACAATTAGACCATAATATGCTATTCATGGAAGAATGCCAAAAGTTTTAATGCTATTCCCAACACATGAGAGACATACGTTTTGTTTAAAATCATTAGTCTTTGGGACATAGTTATTTGACTTAATATTTGATTAACCATTGAAGTGACTATCTCATTTAAAAAGAAATTGCTATGCATGTCTGATTGAGGATAGAGGGTCATGTTTCACTCCTCCCCAGAGAGCAGCCCCCCTAGAGGACTGTTGTGTAGGATTGGGAGAATTGTTGCAGAAGTTTTTTCACAAATGTGTCACAAAGCCAGGCTCACTTAAAGAGAAATAAATGGGCTGATGTCATTCTTCTTAATGACTGAAAGTAGAACATTTTCTGGAACAAATTCAGATGTTAAGATCTGAGTACGTATATTATGTTTTCCCATTCACACTCAATTTCATAAAATCATAGGAAAGTGCCTTGTTTTACAAAGAATGATGGGAAATCCTAAGACTGCCTTGCGTTTTCCAGCTCATCTATGGCATGGCCAGACCTACATCCCAGGTCTTCAACTCTGTTGTTCTCATCTGATGAAGGGATTCCTGATTTTTATTTATTGTGGTTTCTGAGCCCACTAATTTTTTCGTGGGCTGCAGAGTAGTTAATGATCACAGAAAAAAATAAGAGAGCACATGATTTAAAAAGACCGTTTCATTTATGTTTACATAAAGCTAATATTCCTTTTATAATACAATAATTATCAGATCTATCTGGTATGTATTGTTATCATTCATCAGGTTTCTTATACAGCAGAGCACAACTAAAATTTGTTATCCCATTTTATGTATTTTAATATTTCATAATTAATGTGCATTGAATGATGCATTTTTATATATTCTTGGTAGTTGAATTTGAATATTTGAATGGTTATCAAACTTGAAATCTTAACTATTTCATTATAGTACATTTTGAAAGAATAATTTTTCTAATTTTTAAAAATCAGTCCATCTATTTTGATGAACCAAATCCAGCACAAGCCAAAAGTTCAAGCCCAGAAGGATTACCGGACTGGGTAATGGGTGAGCTGGGGACGAGCGAACACAAATTAAATGAATCATGGAAGCTTTCTTCTGGAGACAGTTATTCTTTGGTGCAGTCGCCAACCGATGGCCACAGGTATGCTATGAAAATGGGATTTGGAATGTGTTTCATTATTTAGCCTGTCTTCAGTACTGGTTCATACATTTCATTTTTCCTTGTGGGTATGTTTTTTATGAAAAGTAGTTGATTTACTTTATATTTTTGTTAAAGTTGAAGTCTTTGAAGGATATTGGGAAGGTAAAATGACAGTTTTGCTTTTTCATTTACTGTATATTCAAAAATTATGTTATATTCTAGCCATTTTTTTTTGTATCTGTTATATATATACTAGAGGCCCGGTCCATGAATTCGTGCACTCGGGGTGGGAGGGGTCCCCTCAGCTCGGCCTGCGCCCTCTTGCAGTCCAGGAGCCCTCAGGGGATGTCTAACTGCCAGCTTAGGCCCACTCCTGGAGAGCGGGCCTAAGCTGGCAGTCGGACATCCTGAGCACTGCCGCAGAGTCGCTGCTGCACTCCCCAGCCGTGAGCCCGGCTTCTGGCTGAGTGGCGCTCCCCCTGTGGGAGTGCATTGACCACCAGGGAGCAGTTCCTGCATTGAGTGTCTGCACCCTGGTGGTCAGTGTGTGTCATAGCAGCTGCTCATTCTGCCGTTCAGTCAATTTGCATATTAGCCTTTTATGCCTGCCAGATCAGGCCAAAATGGCTCTCCAACAGGCCCCAAGGGGTCCCGACATCCCCTGAGGGGTCCCGGATTGTGAGAGGGTGCAGGCTAGGCTAAGGGACCCCACCGGTGCACAATCGAAGCCAGGGAGGGATGTGGGAGGTTGATCAGCAGGGAAGGTCTGCAGGAGGGCTCCAGGGCATGTCCAGCCCATCTCACTCAGTCCTGATTGGCCAGACCTCAGCAGCAAGCTCACCTACTGATCAGAGCATCTGCTCTCTGGTGGTCAGTGCATGTCATAGCGACTGGCCGACTGGTTGACTTTCTACCCCTTGGTGGTCAGTGCACATCATAGGGAGCATTTGAGCGGCCTTAGCATATCATTAGCATATTACACTTTGATTGGTTGACCGGACACTTAGCATATTAGGCTTTATTATATAGGATATACACATTACATATATACACACATGTACACTCTGTGTGTGTGTGTATGTGTGTCTGCTCCATTGCTTGGAAAGTGGTTCCTGAAAATTTTTAAATAATACAATTCTCTGTTTCCTTTATGACAAGCACATATTAAGAACATTATCAATGTCGACAACAAACTAACATCTTAAAGCTTATACTTGAATTTCTCTCCTTTTTACCCATCAAATAGTATTTGTTTTAATTTAATAAAATAATGAATATAAATGTAAACTTCATTAAACTGTGCTTTTTCACTAGAGTAGTAAGCTTAAGTAGGATTTTTAGTATAAACTAAACGTCTAAGCTTTTGAAATACATGAAAAGATTATTGTTGTAGTATAACTTTTGGCCTCTAGGAGGGATAGACTTAAATTGGACTTTTATCAAACTTTGAGTTTTACCTTTGGTGTTGTTCCCTCAAATATTAAAATATTGGACAGTGTCAGTTGACATGTGCCATACTTCAAACTTCTCTTGGTAATTTTAATTTTGGGAAATTTGATTTGGTTAACAATATGATCTTTTCTACACATTTTGGTTTGTTACTCAGATATAAAATGTTAGTAATTTGAAATGTCTTCATAGTTGGTGTAGTCTGATAATGTTTTTCAGATGTCAGGAGTTATGGGGGGAAAGAACAGATGAACACAAAGCAAGTGCTATAGTCCAAAGGAAGTTATTTTTATTGGAAAGAGTAACCCAATTAAAATGGAGAGGCATAAGAGGGAGAGAGGAGATAATTATGGACATGTTCAGAAGAGTAAAAAGAAATGAATAGATGAGTCCTTGGGGGTTTTATAAGGTACTTATTTTTGTACTTATGGGAGATTTAAAAATAGAAGAGGTATAATTGTGGAGTTTTGTTAACCTTTTAAGCAGGTAAGTGGAGGTGTCAAGAGGCTGATGTGCATACAAAGAAAAACACAGTTCTTGGTTTGGCTGTGAAATGCATCAGGTGTTTGCCAAAAGATTTGTTGCGTGTCTGACTAAGTGCTGGGTTCCTTTCTGGGTTTACAGGGTAAAAGTGAACCAAAGGCGTTTCCTGTGTCTTTGAGCTCGCCCAGAGGTTGCAAATTGGTCATCATTCTGAACTGAATGAATCATGTTCATGGGTTTGTTTTGTTTGACTTCCATAATGTCTTCAGAGCTTCTTTAGTGAGCTGTCAAAATGAACAATTAGAGAATTTTGTACAAAAAACCTACATTTCTGGCTCACTTTAGAAAGTGGAGACCCAGCGATCTTTCCATAGGTTGGAGCAAAGTGACACTTGCTCACCCCCCTAATGCAGCACGCCTTTACTGTTTCCTGCTAATGCCTGACACTGAGGTTGAGGTCATTGCATCTGTTATTGAGCTTTGACTTTTTCTTTTTTAAGTATTTTATTTTTTGTTAATCCTCACCTGAGGATATTTTTCCATTGATTTTTAAAGAGAGTGAAAGGGAGGGAGAGGGACACACAGAGAGAAACATTCATATGAGAGAGACACATCAGTTGGTTGCCTCCTGCAAGTGCCCTGACCAGGGCCGGGATGGAGCCTGCAACTGAGGTATGTGCCCTTCACTGGAATCAAACCCAGGACCCTTCATTCCTTGGGCCGATGCTCTATCCACTGAGTCATACTGGCTTGGCGAGCTTTTTATTTTTTCAAGTAAGATTAAGAGGAAGTAAAGTATTTGTTTTTCCGCAAAAAGCTTTATTGTTTCATTTGGTCCAATGCATGGAGAGGGTTTCAGGGTGGTTAAAAGAACAGCTAGTAGTTTCGGGGAAAGGCTCAGGTAAAAGCCAGGCACCAGGGGGATGCGGAGGGGTCCCTCAAAGGCCTTCAGGCTCCACAGGCTCCTAGTCCTGCTGGAGGGGAAGCCTTTGGAAGAGATGCGCGCCCAGCCCAGCCTGGGGGCCGGCAGCCTGCAAGGTGAGTCAGGTGTCGCCCATCTTCTTGATGCGTTTCACCTCCTCACCCGGAAGTGGTTCTGCAGGAAGTCACGGAGCTGAGGGTCTGCGCAGGGAGAACCCAGGGCCTGCAGCTCCAAGAGGGCCTGGGTCAGGCTCCTTTCCAAGGCCAGGGCGGCCTCCATGGCGTCCTGAGTTTTGCCCCCTCATCTTGGGAGGCTTCAGCACGTCCTGGAAGAGAACGCAGCCACCGCGCTGGGTTTGCAACTTGAAGACGCTCAGCGCCCTCGCGCTTCTTCTCTGCCAACTTGCGGGGAAAGTGGCCCACGCCCTCCAGAGCCACTTCCATCGTCCAGGTCCAAATAGAAGCCGAGAGGTAGGTGTGGGAGGCCCCAGAGGCAGGCCGGCCAGGCGGTTGACCGCAGCCTCCACCTCGGTGGGTGGAAGAGTTGATGAATTTGGGAGCTCATGGTTGCTTGGCACTAAGGAGTTAAGGTAGAAAAACAACAACAGTGTGTTGGCTGGTCCCGGAGGTGGTTCTGAAGGTGGTGACTGGATAAGACAGGAGAGCGGCCGGAGGCTGGAAACTGGGGCCTCCTGGGTCTGTTCCGTCCAAACACTGTTGAAGCAAGAGACAGATCCGGGAGTGTCGAGGGCACTGCCTCCATTTATATTCTATGAAAAGTAGAAAGAAGAAAGGTAAATGAAGTGGGAATCACATCATTTAAGAAGAGGAGAGGAAGGGGGCGGGGGGAATGGAAGATATCTCTAGTACTATCAACAATAAAAATATATTTAAAAAAATGAAGAGGAGAGAGAGAGTTTCTTTGTAGAAGTATAGTATAATCACCCATGTGTTTACCTGTTTAGTCTTATAAACATTTGGTCTAAAACTGTGCTTTAGATGGATAGGGAAGAGAGATATATGTATGGTTAATTTCAGTGCAGTGGTTCTGGGTCGTTGTGGAGGTGTTTATGAAGATTGAGGTATGTATAAGAGTAAGGTTCAGGGTAGGAAATAGAACAGACTCCAGTTTTTTCCTCATAATAGAGGATAGAGTTAGAGAAAACAGTGGAAATATTCTTCAAATATTAAGGATTTTTCTGGAAAATGAAACCATAGTAAAAATCTGCACAAGTTTAACAAATAACTTATTTCTCTTTGTTGCTCAGCTATAATAAAATGGCATATTAATGCCAATTACTCAAGTATGAGGCTTTAGTTATCAGTTACATAAAGTAATTAATGGGACAAGCAGGCAGTCCTCTGGTCCCAGTCATTGTTCAGATCTCCTAACTCCATAAAAGCCTCCCCTGATGGCCCAGGTCTGTTTGGGTGACTCTTATTTACGCAAAGCACTCTGTGTTCTTTGTTGCACTTATCGCATGTACAGAGGTTCCATTTCTGTCCTTTTGCTAGATTGCAAATTTCACGAGGGAAGACTGTGGTTTTCCTGTTTGTACTGTATTTCCAGTTAGGGACTCCAGAGAGTTTGTATTTGGTGAGTGTATGCATGCTTGAAGGTTGGGTTATGTTAGCCACTTCCACATAATCTTAATTTAATCTGTACAAAACGCCTCTGAGATAGGTATATTGTGGCAGAGAGAATGGCACACAGAGATTTAGAAAAGACTTAGAAAAAGTCAAGGGAAAGATCAAATTCAGAAGAAATTAAGGGAAGTACAGGTGTAGGCTATGGAGATGCCCTTCCCACACCGTGAGGAACGTAGAGACAATGCAGGAGCCGGAAAAGGCACATTTAAGTTCCTTTCTGCTCAAGTGTCAGGATATCACTAAGGCCCAAGGCCAATTAAGGCTGCAAAACAACACAACACAGTGTATCTTTTCTCATATGTTTCTCAATTAATTTAATTTGCTTTACTGTAAAATGTTAATTTAATGAACAGATCTTTGACATTTTATTTGCATGAAGGCCTTTAGAAACTAAAACTAACATTTAGTTTAGCTAAAGGCAATACAGCTGATTTCAAGGCCAAATACATAATGTGTGAGTTGGAGCAGAAGTGGTGTGAAGTGGAATGATGGTCTTC